TAGAGAGAAACACAGAAGAAGAGGAGGGGGACGTAGAGAGAAACATGGAAGGAGAGAAGGGGAAATGTGATGAGAAACAAGGAAGTAGAGGGGGGACATAGAAACATGGAAAAAGAGGAGGGGGGCATAGAAACATGGAAGGAGAAGAGGGGACATCCAGGCAGGAAGTCAGCGCGCTAACTGGTGGCACAAAGCATTGACAGAACCCCATCAGTGCTTGGTGTGCTGGTTGATGATTCGCTCTTACCGTGCCTCTTTCTCCACGGTTTTAAGTCGGGCCTGTAGCTGCTCATTAATCTCATGTTGTTCTTCCATCTCCCTCACAGCTTTCTTCCGCAACCCATCCATGCGCTCGATCTCCTCCTCGGCCTCATCCACCTGCCTCTTCAGCGCCTTCACCCGTAGGTTAAGCTGTGGACAGAGGACAAGACACAGGTGAGGCATTATAACAAGGTGACACCATATAGGATCTAACAGAAGGTTCGCGGTGCAACGTCTACACAAAAGTCAGTGGTAGTGGTAGTTGGAGTTGTGTAAGGGCCACAAAACTAATGTGTCCTCACCTGATCCTTCTGATCATTGACTTGGAGTCTCTCGTCTTCCAGTTGGATGTTCAGCTCCTTCAGCTTTCTCTCCAGCTTGCGGTTGGAGGACAGTAAGTTGCTCTTATCCCTGAGGATGGGGTGTGAAAATCTTATCATGAAATCATAAAAGCAAACACCCAGATGATCCCCGATGACCTATATTCAACAATATTCTGGGGTGTACTATAAAAAAACATTACTGTAGGTTTACACTGGAGCCACCCTGACTGCCCCACCAAGAACGAGTATCAATCTCACTCCACAGATTCATCTCATCATGGAGTTTCACAACAATAAGATGGTATCAGTGGATGGGCAGGAGGCCTCATTAATAAACATGAACAACAGCCTAAAAATATGACTGGGGCAAGTGTAACCTGTAAAACGGATCTGTGCTGTGTCAGTGCAAGCAACAAGTTTACAATAATGGAGATCCCACCAGTAGCTTCTACCTCCCTATCCTTCACTCTCTCACTGCTTCATTCAGGAGCGGAATCCAGTACTTCTGGGTATGGGGAACCATTGACTCAGACCCGTTTATATCATTGGACAGTGCTGGTGATTGGCTGCTCGGGCACCAACTGTCACTTGATAGCAAGGAGAGTTCTCAGGCCTGTGTAAGCTCCACCTCCCTCACCTGAAGTTCCTTCAAGCCTAATGGCCAATAGGAATGGTGGGCGAGGGAATGGGAAGGTCATTATAAGCTGCTAATGGGGCCACCATGAAAGGGAATCTGTTGCGTTTCTACATTAGGAGTGACCCCCAGTCTCCCGTACCTCTCCTCGGCTTGTAGCCTCTCCTGGACCTCCTGCAACTTGGCCTCTAGCTGGGACACGTTGGTGCTGGGCTTAGTCTGCCCCTCCATGCTGGCCAGACGGCTCTTCAAATCTTTGTTCTGCGAGGAAATAAAAATGTTATATTACATATAATTAATTTTCCCTTTAGAAGATTAGATAAATACACATCTGGTAACAAGAGAACATCCCTGGCAACGCTCTGCCCAGATGGAACATGCCGAGCGAGCGTTCTTGGAAAGGTGAACATCGACTGATGAATTGTGCTGTTGGAGGAAGATGGACAACAAGATGGACAGGCCAGTCAGATGGCCTACGAGAAGGACAGGCCTGGACTTTCGAGAAGGACAGGCCTGGACTTTCGAGAAGGACAGGCCTGGACTACGAGAAGGACAGGCCTGGACTACGAGAAGGACAGGCCTGGACTACGAGAAGGACAGGCCTGGACTACGAGAAGGACAGGCCTGGACTACTACGAGGACAGGCCAGTCAGATGGCCTACAACGAGGACAGGCCAGTCAGATGGCCTACAACGAGGACAGGCCAGTCAGATGGCCTACAACGAGGACAGGCCAGTCAGATGGCCTACAACGAGGACAGGCCAGTCAGATGGCCTACAAGAAGGCCAGGCCAGTCAGATGGCCTACAAGAAGGCCAGGCCAGTCAGATGGCCTACAAGAAGGCCAGGCCAGTCAGATGGCCTACAAGAAGGCCAGGCCAGTCAGATGGCCTACAAGAAGGCCAGGCCAGTCAGATGGACAACGAGAAGACAAGGCCAGTCAGATGGACAACTAGAAGGACAGACCAGTCAGGTGAACAACGAGAAGGACAGACCAGTCAGATGGACAATGAGGACAGACCAGAAAAAATTGCACTGCTGAAAGGGGGGCCGGTAAACAATAACGGCAAAGCTGACTTGACTATGGACGGGAGCAGAGACTCTGATGCTGGAAGACGTACCATACGTAGAAGTAATCCAGAAGATCTCTATGTCTCATATAGAGCTGTAGAGCGTCATCTGCACATCTCACATCCCAGGCATGCTGTGTTTCTCCCGAACTGTGGTCACGGTTCATGTGCGGTAAAAAACATACAAACGACACCCCATATAATAAGAGGGTCACCCCTTCCAATGTGCTTCCCCAATGCTTGCCATTGCTTGTTTTTATGTAGACAGATGGCATCTCCAAAACAAGGAATAAGAACCTGCAACAGCCTAGAAACCCGCTGCTGAACCGTCGCGTCCAATGGTCACAATTCCGACTCAAGTAAATACGTAATAATCACTTTCCTGGCAGTATGCAATTTCCTTGTGGATAGGGAAACGGGGAATTAAATGCTGAGACGTCTCTATGGTGACAGTGCGTAAGTTCGTATCACGCAGAGAAGCCATTCTGAGACTTAAGTAGCTGCGCCCCCTGCAGGCTGAGAGCGGTAATGTTTCATATATAGAACACAACTGAAGAGGAGATAAGGGGAACCAAAAGAAAAAAACACCCCAGTCATTACTCAACATTTATAATATAACTGAAAGTTGTCAAAATAACCTTAATCAAGCTGTAAAATGGTGTTTCCGCAGTGTCTAGGCCAAGACAATGGAGGAACCGGGGGGGGGGACAGCACAGAGGCAGCCAATTGGCATGAGCACCTTGAGTCAGTCTCCTGAGATCCTCAGCATTGCAGAGACCTGTGACCTCCCCGGCGACAGCCTTTTAGTTATGTATTTTGGAAAACAGAACTACTTTATTTCCTTGCACGTTCACTTTTCAACTTGTGTTCTCTTGTGCGTAAGAGCACATTACAGCAACGCACGGTGTATGTTCCATTGGCTGCATCGCCTTTCATTTTTAATGGTACCCAACAAGCATACAAAACACCTGCACCTGACCCTCAATGCGTGCAATAATCACATGGGTAATCACATGGGTTGCCTTGCTGTGTACTAGGTGCATTTTTTGGTAAATGGATGTGGAAAGGGATGGGCGCGCTCAGCGCAAGTCAATGTGTAGATAGGCCCCAACGGTTTCCATGTTCATAATACTGATATTACTGACACTGTATAAAGCTCCATGGGGTCCTCACCTGCCTTTCCAGGGACACCTTGCTACACTCCAGGTCCTGCCGACTAGTTCGCTCCTGCATAAGCTCCGCCCTCAGCTGATCCATCTGTAGGAAGGAGGAAAAAATTAAGTAATAACAGTGTGATGCGGCCTTACACTACGAGGAGGATCAAACATACATTCTGATTGGTTATGGCATGCAGAATTATCCGGATGGTAGTGGAAAGGATCAGGATAACACAACACCTCCTCCGCAGCTTCAGTCTTTTTGGAAGACTGGAGGGTTAATGTCCTTCACCTCTGCTGCTTTTGTTGCCGCTATTTGGGCTTCATTGTATATCCATCTATTATAAACATTAGAGATGCACCAATACTGGTTATTCGGTATCAAGTACGGGTACCAATTTTTTTTTGGTACTCGCCGATACAGAGTACCAGTGCCATGTGCCCAGATTATCAAGAGGTCGGGCGGTGGATCATGACCCTTCGCCTGGCTTCCTGATTGCCTGTGAAGCTGGTGTTTTAGCGAAAGAACACCGGCTTCACTTGCCGAGGCTGCCTGGCTTCCTGACCATTTAGGAAGCCGGGCGGCGAGTCATGAGGTGCCGCCCGGCTTCCTGATTGGCTAGGAAGCCAGCTTCACTTGTTGGTAGGCAGCCTGGCTTCCTAACCAATTGGGAAGCCAGGCGGCGAGTCATGAGGTGCTGCCCGGCTTCCTAATTGGCTAGGAAGCCAGCTTCACTTGTTGGTAAGCAGCCTGGCTTTCTAACCAATCAGAAAACCAGGCGGCACCTCATGACTCGCCGCCCGGCTTCCTGATTGGCTAGGAAGCCAGCTTCACTTGTTGGTAGGCAGCCTGGCTTCCTAACCAATGAGGAAGCTGGGAGGCCGGTCATAACCCACCGCCCGGCTTCCTGACTGGAAAGGAAGCCGGCTTTATGCTCCTTCGGCACTGCTGGTCAGAGGAAGATCTCCCTCTGACCGGAAGTTCTCGTATCGGAGCATTTGGGTGAGTGCGAGTACTCGCCCAAATACTAGGTATCAGCACTAGGTATCGGTGTATCCCTAACATACATTAATGTGCTCAGACACAACACCACATGAACATTCACCACAGCGGGTAATCGGCACCTTCTAACTCAAGGAACATCCTAATATAGTTCAACAGAAACGTCTCCCTGCTGTATTCTCATTAGATTCTGAGCAATTCACACAGTGCGGGTCATTGTACCCACTGGGCTCTGTTGGATCTATATAAGACTTTGGGGTTACCTGGTCTCGGCTGCGATTAACCCGGTCCGTCATCAGCTCCGCCGTACTCTTCTCTTCGTCCAGCTCCATCTCCAGTCGTTTTAGTTTATCCTGGAAGAGTTAACTCCTTGTTATTATTATCTGTTCAACTTTCCCCCCCGATAGTGAATGTTTAACCTTTAATCTGTGGCTAGAACTATGAGGTGAGAGAAAAGCACTCACCTCATAGTTCTCCTTTAAGCTCACAGAACCTTCCCGGAATGTTAGACTCCAGACATTGTGCCGCCCATGATACAATTGCTAGCACACGAGTTCTTTGTTTCAACGTTTGTTCCATGCGCAATAATGCTAACGCATTTCTGCCTCAGCCAGCCTTAATCAGAGCTAAGATTAGGGCCATTCAAGGCAGAAATGCGTCAGTGGTCGCTTATTTGTACAGATGCTCGTGGACTTTTCAAAGAACTGTGTACCGCCAATTGTACTTATTGCCGTGACAGCTCTGGGAGAGAGATCGTCTGAGCACCGGGTGTGGTATCCCCCAGGCACATGTCAGGAATGAGCTGTGCTTCTTTCTCTGTAATTCCATTTTGCTGCCAATACAGCTCTTGCGCAGTGTTGGTCAGCATGATGCCTTCTGCAGAGGATACGTTTATAAAACCTCCTCCCTTGGGCAGCCACTAGCCGACACTTTGCGCACCTTGTGGCTGTCAAGCCCGGCTGTCACTGGCAGCTTTAGTCCCCACTGATTATCGAGAATCAAGATGTTCTTGATTATGTGTCAGCAGTAACAGTTATCACATGCAAGCTGAAGTCTTTATTCAGGAAAAAGTGGTTTCAGCGTGCAAAGGGCACTACAGGCTGCAGATGGTAGTGTACCTCTGTTTAATACTGTAATTGTACATGACAATGTACTTCTGTTTAATACTGTAATTGCTGATGGCAGTATACCTCTGTTTAACACTGTAATTGCTGATGGCAGTGTACCTCTATTTAGTACTGTAATTGCTGATGGCAGTGTACCTCTATTTAATACTGTAATTGTTGATGGCAGTGTACCTCTGTTTAATACTGTAATTGTACCTGTGTTTAATACTGTAATTGTACATGGCAGTGTAACTGTTTAATACTGTAATTGTTGAAAATTATATTATAATATACGTACACAATATATATTATGTAATTAATTCTCATTATAAAAGAGTTAAAGAGGTTGCAAGCTTAGTAGGAACCCGCGGGAGGCCCTGCCGTATAAACCTATTCAGACCTCACGAAGTGCCCACAGATTTTACCTGCCAATATATCTACTGCCACTGAGCTGACTATAGCGGGGTCTCAGCTAGAATTATGGGCACTATGATTAACAAAAAACTAACTGCGGTCCTGGCTGACTCTCACAATAAATATTTGAAGATTTGGAGGCCCGAGATCTCCTATGCTAGCCCCCAGTGCTCTGAGGTTTCCATGGAGTCTTCCTAATGCACTGATCTAAAAGGGAGGGGCCAGTGATACCTGAGGAGGTACATTTTGACTATAATGGCCGCTCACTCAGTGTATACAGGTAAGCCCAGGAGGCTCTGTCATGTGACCTAATTTCAAGGCTGCGACTTGATGTGTCATTTTCATCTCACGTTTGCGATGACCGGATTTTTCTCCTGCCCTGACGTTATCTGTCAACGCTTGCATACCTTTGCTCACACTCCATGTTGCTATGTCAGCTCGCTGGCCTATTGCTGTTTTATGTTCTGGTATACAAATACAAATGTTGTGGAAGGAAAGAGTTGAAGGCGACTCACCTCCAGCACTTTCACCTGGCGGGAACGGTCATCCTGAGAGCGCCTCTTGGTATCCAGGTCCTGCTCCAGGTTCTGCAGACGCTGGCTGACCAGCTCCTTGTCCAGCACCGCATTCTCCTTCTCGGCTTGACTGTCCTGCAGAGCTTGCTTCAGCCGCTGCACCTGAGGATGCGGGAAAACACGGCGTCAGATACCAGAGCGCCACCCATTGATGCGTCAGGGAAATTGTACGACTGCTCCGAATAAGGATACACTTATAATTATCATAACTTGTCATAAGTCCCCACAGACATCCAGATTTATAGCTGGTTGCTGACCCAGCTAAGTCCATAACGGCACCATCTCTGCTAGGACAGAGGGAGGGGGGCATATCCCGCCCCTGCGTCATTTGACCCTTTTTTGTGGAGGGTCACATGGTCACATAAAAGACTATCAATGGAACAGATGCCTCTGATCTGGACTACCCACCTCTTCCTGCAGCCGGCTGACACTGAGCTGCATTCTCTCTGCCTCGGCCGCTCTCTCTTTGGCCTCTCTCTGAGACTCGCCGATCTCCTTGCGCGATTTCTCTTTGTATTCCTCCAGCTGAGTCTGCAGCATCTGCAGGGAGTCCCGGGACTCGCCCGTCATGCTGTCCAGCTGTGGGAGGAGAAACACACACACAAAGACTGTTAGTTACCCGTAAAGTAGAACTGCGGCCATGCCATGGACATTCAGGAGCCTCATTTACAGTTTGGCTGACCAGCCTCATCTTGTGAATCCTCCAGCCTCACCTCTCGGGTCAGCTTATCCATGGATTTGTCCAGCAGCCTCTTCTGGTCCTCCAGTTCATTCTTGGTCTTCTTTAGCAGATCCTTCTGCCTCATCTCCTCCTGGTAGCACTCTTGTAGCTCGTCGTACTCCAAAGTCAGCCGTTTCAGACTCCTCTGGGCGTCGTCCAGACGGTTCTCCATCTCCCGTCTCGTCAAGGCAAATTCCTGTTCCTGGTCTGTGGCCTGTCCCAGAGAATCCTCCATCCTCTTCTTCTCTGTCTGAGAACCGAGAGAGGAAAATTATGTTATTCCCTGGCCGATTTTCCAACCATAGATGGAACTCCGAGGATAGATATGAAAGCTTCCACTGCTGGAAGGGCCTGGGGCTGTCATCCTTATCCCGACTGCAATACTTAGTCAGCCTTTACTGGCTGTGTACTTGTTCTGCAAGGTAGTGAGTGCCTGTTTACAAAAACTCGCTAGACTTCCTATACAGACAAAGCGAAGTATAATCAAGAGAACGTGAGATCAAGAGAGCGAGAGAGAGAGAGCGAGATTGAGATCAAGAGAGAGAGAGAGAGAGCGAGATTGAGATCAAGAGAGAGAGAGAGAGCGAGATTGAGATTGAGATCAAGAGAGAGAGAGAGATTGAGATCAAGAGAGAGAGAGAGAGATTGAGATCAAGAGAGAGAGATTGAGATCAAGAGAGAGAGAGAGATTGAGATCGAGAGAGAGATTGAGATCAAGAGAGAGAGATTGAGATCAAGAGAGAGAGAGAGATTGAGATCAAGAGAGAGAGAGAGAGAGAGAGAGAGAGAGAGAGATTGAGATCGAGAGAGAGAGAGAGAGAGTGAGATCGAGAGAGAGATTGAGATCAAGAGAGAGAGATTGAGATCAAGAGAGAGAGAGAGATTGAGATCAAGAGAGAGAGAGAGAGAGAGAGATATTGAGATCAAGAGAGAGAGAGAGAGAGATTGAGATCAAGAGAGATTGAGATCAAGAGAGAGAGATTGAGATCAAGAGAGAGATGGAGAGATGGAGATGGAGAGATGAAGAGATGAAGCGATTGAGAGATGAAGAGAGGGAGAGATGAAGAGAGGGAGAGATGAAGAGAGGGAGAGATGAAGAGAGGGAGAGATGAAGAGAGGGAGAGATGAAGAGATCGAGAGATGAAGAGATCGAGAGATGAAGAGATCGAGAGATGAAGAGATCGAGAGATGAAGAGATCGAGAGAGGGAGAGATGAAAGATGAAGAGATCGAGAGAGATCGAGAAATGGAGAACAAGGGATCGAGGTATGGAGATTGAGAGGGAGCTCAAGAGATCGAGAGACTATATAGCCAAGAGTATGTGGACATCCCTCCAAATTACTGAATTCAGGTGTTTCCAGTAGCATACAAAGATGAGCCACTGTCCCTCTTTGCACAAAGCCATCTCCATAAAGACATGGTGTGACCAGTTTGGTATGTAGGAACTGGGAGTGGCCTGCACAGAGCCCTGACCTCAACCCTATTAAACACCTTTGGGATGAATTGGAATGCCAGGTGTGAGCCAGGTCTTCTCATCCCACTTCAGTAGCTGACCTCATAGATTCCCACAGACGCAACCCAAAATCTTGTGGGAAGCTTTCTCAGAAGATTGGAGGTTGTTATAGCCAAAAGGAGGTCAACTCCATATTAATGTCCATGGTTTTGTGAAGAGATGGCAACAAGGTCCTGCAATGGTCAGGTGTCCATAAACGTTTGATCATAAAGTGTATTTATCTATGCTGTGTCAAGGCACTAGAAACCTCAATCATGAAGGCAACAAGTGTAGTACTCATCAGTGACGGATACCATAACATGACCCCTCAGGGCTAGTCTAGCGGAGAGATAGTGGATCAAGTCTATATCTACGAATAAAACTATAGTCACCTCCAATCTGGTCATTTTCTCCTTAAGACGGCCCTCAGCCCTCTGCAGGTCATCACAGTATGTATTCAGTTCCTTCACCTGGGCCTCTAGCCCTAAGATCTTTCTCCTAAGGTCGTCGTTTTCCTCCCGTGCGTCCTGCAGCGTGTTCTCCATTATCTGCCGCGCACGCTCCCACTCCACTTTCTCCTCTTCCAGCTTCTTCCTTACCTAGGAGAATAAAGATGAACTTCATCTCTGAATATGTTTTAGTGATACATTTCCCCCAATCACACTACGGCGTATACACTGTGACAGCACTGCGCCATGGTAGGTCCTTTGATGGTACCAACAGTTGACCATCTGCATTTCCCATGGTACCCAATAGCAATGCTTTATCTTTACCTTTATCATATTCTACTTTTTGAAGAACATTGTCAAAGATGGTCTTACCTTGAGGAGATCCTCATTGTCTTTCTTGGTTTGCTGAACCTCGCGGCTGTACTGATCTCGTATTTTTTCTGTCTCGCGGTCATGTTCGGACACCTCGTCTTTCAGTGCTCCCTTCAGCGCAGAGAGCTCCCTCTCCCGCTGGTGCAGAGTCTCCTCTACTCTCTGATTTTCTTGAGACAGCTCGCGCAGCTCATCCTGGAAGTGCTGCAGCTCCTACAAGAGAGACGGTGTTGTATATGGACTGTGTTCAGCACTCTAGATCCTGGTGGGACATTCGAGTGTAAGCTCCTCTGTACAGAAATTGATGTGACTGGCTCAGTGTCCTCTGTACAGCGCTCTGTTATATGTCAGAGCTATATACATGTATAATAATGGTGTGTGACTGTGGGGGGGACGGGACATTAGAGTGTAAGCTCCTCTGTACAGAGATTGATGTGACTGGCTCAGTGTTCTCTGTACAGTAGAGTTATAGAAATGTATAATAATAGTGTGTGACATGGGGGGGGAAGGCATTAGAGTGTAAGCTCCTTTGGTGCAGGGATTGATGTGACTGGCTCAGTGTCCTCTGTACAGCGCTCTGTTATATGTCAGAGCTATATAAATGTATATTTGTATTGGTATTAACACATCTATTCCACCCTACACATCGCAGGGTAACAGGTCTCCTCACCTTCAGCCTCTCTTCATATTCTCTCTTGGTCTGCTGCAGCTCGCGGCCGTGCTGATCTCGCAGTTTCTCCGTGTCGCGGTCGTGTCCGGACACCTCGTCTTTCAGCGCCCCCTTCAGGGCGGACAGCTCCCTGTCCCTCTGGTGCAGGGTCTCCTCCACCCTCTGCTTCTCTGTGGACAGCTTGCGCAGCTCATCCTGGGAGCGCTGCAACTCCTGTCGGGGAGAGGACAGATGGAGATCAAATCTGGGGCAGTACAGATCACATTTTTTTTGGTGGTCACACGCTAGTACCTGCTGGCAGCTATATTGGTGATGGACGCGGAAAGAGAAAGGAGGGGACATTCACCCGGTGTTCTGTCAAAGTGGGCAACTCGTCGAGATGGCGCTAGTGTGCGTGTGCCAGCCGTCACAGTTTTTGCAATCCTCGTTGACATCTCCAGTTGCCGTAGGTGCGCCTGTGCGACTTCCAAATTGTCATCGAGTTCTCCAACTCCCGTTGGCGCTTGTGGCATCGTGTGCCTGCATAGCGCACTGCCACAGATTGTAGAGTTTCATACTTCTGTTGGGTGGCTGCAGAGGCGCACTGACGGGAGTTGGAGGTCTCGACGAGTTGAAGAATTCGATAGACCACCGCCAAGATAAGGTATGCAGCCGGGTCCCCTCCTCTCTCGTGCAACTGTCGGGCTCTCGGTCCTGACTTTTCAGAGGGGGTGACACCAAAATGGCTCACATTGGTATCCCCAGGGTGTGAGCAGCACCCCCGTAGTAAGACCACTGTTGGAAGCTGCTGGGAATGGCTCAGCCAGTCATAAGAAGCAACATGGACAGACCTCACCAGCAAACATACCCAAAAGCATCCTGCAAAGCCTGCCGTGAGGTGCTCTTTACAAAATGCAAAAATAGAAACAGTCGGAAGTGGTGTGTAGCCAAAAGGACAACAGTGCTGCGAGTAGCCCCAGAAGACTGACAAGGGCGGACAGAGTGTGCCTAACAGGTACGGAACAACCGGAGGAGATGGAACAAAACCGGCAGCTATATCTGACTGCAGAGCGCTCGTAAATACATACGGACATTCACACGGGAAAAGGCAGCTTTTCGAATTATGCATACGAACCCTCTTGGTGGCCTCCACCTCTCCAGCCTCCACAGAGCCTTTCTTGGTTCGTTCCAGCTCAGACTGTACCAGGGAAAATCGATCTTTCATCTCGCTCAGCTCGTCCTCAAATTCTTCCTTCTCCGTCTTGAGCTGTAAGACCCTGAGACCCACCCCGGGGCAGATGTGAGATACATTCCAGATAACACAAAACTGAGACATGAACTGTGTTCTACAATGTCCTACAATCAACTTTATTTAACAACAGAGGAGGCAGGCACGGTGTCTGATAATACGCCAGGGATTTAACCTCTTGCCGTCCGCCCGTTAAGAAAAAACGGACGGACGGCAGACTCGCCTCCGCGGGTTGCCGTCGCCAGACGGCAGTTTTTTCCTGCTCGTGCGCGCCCCCTAGCGCGTGCACGGGCAGGAAAAACCTGCTCGTTACTACAGCCGTTAACGGCTGTTTCACATACAACCGATCAGCGGCTCTATAGCCGCCGATCGGTTGTATGGCGTGAATTTCGGAGCCCCCCCCCCCGCATCTCGGAATAAATGTCAGTCAAAGTACCGCAGCGCTGAATACTGAAAAATGGCCTGGATGGGAAGGGGGTTTAACACCACGGATGTCAACTGGTTAAAGAAGGACTCCGAGTCATTCTATGCATCAGAAAAACTAGCTCAGCTTGCATGATAAAAATGTTTCTATTGGTGGCAATTACTATGGCTTGGGTAACTTTAAGAGAAGACATTGTGAACTCGTATACATCTTAAAACTTGCCAGGTTCTGCCTCCGTCTACAGAATGGTTAATCAGCCTTATTGTGCATGGAGTACCTGTCCCGATCAGCTCAGTCACCAAATATAAGACACAATTGTCCAGCACAAGGCACACTATTATTTGTGGGGGGTATGTCAAAGCTCTTCCCAGAAGAGTGGAGAATGTTATAGCCACAACGGTGGGCAATTCCATAATAATGGCCAAGGTTCTGGAATGGGATTTCCAAGTCATATAGGTGTGATAGTCAGGGAGAATTTTGGCCATATAGTGGACCTGATGATATGTAACCAATTCATACAAATAAGAGAAAGGGCCAACAAAGAAATAAAGGAGCACCTTATCACGGGGATGATATTACTTTCTATGAAAGGGACCTCCCTTACAATCACCAGGCACCTAATACATTAACAGCCGACTCATGGAAATCTACAGATATATTTTGGAGATATTCGTCATATAGAACTTCACAGAATAAAAGGAGATTGTCCTGATTGGGAGAAGACTGTTACGCTGCTCTGGATACTCACTCCTGCTTTGAGTTGCGGAGTTCCTCCTTGTTCTTCTGAAACATTTCTTTCCATTGGGTGATTTCCTCACTGCTCTCCTCTAACTCCCGCTGTAGGTTCCTCACCACCTGATTGATCTTCTGACGCTCGGACTCCAGGCTGATCTGATCCTGTGGGGGGGAGGGGAACAGAAGATGCTACAGACAGGAGGATGGGACAAGTCAGAGGAGGAACATAAAAAGGATCAGAGGGCCGGAACATTAGTGAGTTGAAGTCAGAAGAGAAGACGGAAATTGGTGACATATGACAAGACAACATGGGACATTTCATTGATTAAACAGGTCAGACATCAACCAGACCGGCCACTGATGAGAAGACGGGAGCCATACTAACAAGAGACGAACTGACAAAAATGAAAGGCTGCGGGACAAACAAGTGCGGACGTGAGAAAAGCCAAGGAAGAAATATTGGGGACACTAGAAAGGGATGCGGGACCATAGAACATTGGGTGGACAGGCAGACCAAGCAGGAAATGGCAGTGAAGCATGCACAGCAGACACATATCACGGGCAGACCAGTAGACTCTTCTAACGCGTGTCCTCGGGTACCTGGGACACGTTGTCCATGTTTTTCCTCATTTGCTGCAAGTCCTTCTGGTGCTGCTGACGTATTTGGTCTAATTCCTTGTCGTGATTGGCCACCTCGTCTTTCAGAGCCCCCTTCAGGGCGGTCAGTTCGCGATCCTTCTGTCTCAGCAGCTCATCCTGCTTGTAGCGGATCTGCAGAACATCATCCAGTTCTTCTTGCGCCTCTTCCAGCTCCTGAAGGATGGAGGGAGTGCAGTGGGAAGTGATATGTGTAGAAGACCTTAACTAAGGAGGCCACTACTTCACCTGCTGTGTTAGTATAATGGCCTCGTGTGTGTTGGGACAACCACGCCTGGCCTAAGCCCTGATGAAGGAGGTCACTTGGAACACCCTGAAACACATTGGAATGTTTTTTAAAGGACCCTGACGTGTTGGGTGTATGTCTGGGTAGACATACATATGGCTCTATATGCCATACTAATAAGGGACAGTGTGTTAGGGAGCGTGTTTCAGGATATTGGCCATAAGGTTGAAGAAGAAGCCTGCGCTCTGTTTTACCCATTTATGTAAACCAGGCACTAGTGAAAGTATCTAAAGCAAGCTTAGCGCCAAGCTAGCTCTCAGGGGGGAGTAGCTTGTCTGGAAGCAGGAGGGGCCTTGATAGCAAGGGTCAAAGGTTACCTTCAGTAAGGCGTTCTTGTCTGCCGATACCCCCTGCATCCGCTGCTTGTTCACCTCTTCCTTGGCGTCCTGCAGCTTCCCCTCCAGGGACCTCATTTTGGTTTCCACCTGTTCTTTGCTCATTCGAACTTCTATCAACCTATTCAACAGAACACAAACGTCAACGACACATCGGGCCATCTATCCAGTGCAGAGGAGGGTCTGTCGCCCCATCTCTCCATTATACCCCGACTATAGGTCACATGACTGTGCTGACATCACATGAGATGGTACTACTAACATAATCCTCAACATCATTGTCATGTTATGACTTCCAATGCTTAAGGTGCCATATTTTCATTACTGGATTTCATGTACAGATCTGTAGATTCTTCCTCAGCTGGCTTTCCGTATTCTTCTGCAATTACTCCACCACCCCAATCTATGATCACCGAGATAAAATCCCATCTGCATTACTGGCTTTCCCTGATTTTTATTTGCTGCATGCTTGGTCTGGGTCAATTCAGAAATGTAAACACCTGACCCCCATCCCTATATGAGCTGACTGTGGACACCTGACCATCCCACCTATATGAGCTGGTTGTGGACACCTGACCATCACCCCTATATGAGCTGGTTGTGGACACCTGACCATCACCCCTATATGAGCTGGCTGTGGACACCTGACCACCAACCCTATGTGAGCTGGCTATGGACATCTGGCCATCACCCCTATATGAGCTGGTTGTGGACACCTGACCATCACCCCTATATGAGCTGGCTGTGGACACCTGACCACCAACCCTATGCGAGCTGGCTATGGACATCTGGCCATCACCCCTATATGAGCTGATTGTGGACACCTGACCATCACCCCTATATAGGCTGGCTGTGGACACCTGACCACCACCCCTATATGAGCTGCTTGTGCACACCTGACCATCACCCCTATATAGGCTGGCTGTGGACACCTGACCACCACCCCTATATGAGCTGCTTGTGCACATCTGACCATCACCCCTATATGAGCTGGTTGTGGACACCTGACCATCACCCCTATACGAGCTTGTTGGACATCCCATTCCAAAACCCATGGCCATTTACATGGAGTTTTTCCTTTGTGGCTATAACATCCTCCACTCTTCTGGGAAGCCGATAGGAATTCATGCCCATTTCTCAGGTCAGTTACTGATGCTGGATGAATAGACCATGTTCACAATTGGTGCTCCATCCCAAAGATGTTCAGTACGGTTGAGGTCAGGGCTCTGTCCAGGACACTTGAGTTCCTCCACACCAAAGTGGTCCAGCCACATGTTTATGGAGGTGCTTTGTACACACGGTACAGTCATGGTGGAACAGAAAAGGACCTTCCCCAAACTGCCACCACAAGATTGGAAGAGCTTAATTGACAGTCTAAAATGTGGTTGTATGCTGCAGTATTAAAAGTACCATTTGCTGGAGAGACCCAAACTCCATCATTTGGAGAGGGGTTGACATGCTTTTGGCCATACAGGTAAGTGTGATAGTCAGGGGCCCACATACTTTTGGCCATATACTGTATGTCTGGCATGGAAGGGGACTGTGCCTGCAGTACCTCTGCTGTGCCTACAGGTGTATCTGTGTCCCCACGAATACAGGAGGATCTCTATAGCTGACCATATATATAGCTGTAGCCCTTGAATGTAAAGGCTACAGCGAGTCTGACGTCTGCTCTAAGAGTAAGAATCGGGTTCATTATCATATTATCTTCCAGCGTCCATACAGTCAGCACTTGCTGCAGGGTGTGAGAAGATAAAGGAACATTTGACATTTACTGCCTGTTACAAATTAACCTGACACATTTATAACGGGCCCGTCATAGACATAAAGCTGCACCCTCGGCTTGTCTGGACACGGGTGACAACAACACAAAACAAAGCTTTCCTATTACCTCAGACCTGTTAAATATCTGGATAAGCTTATAATGACCTGGAAATGACTCAACACAACATACAATGCCGCAGCTCCATTATTTGCTGAAATGATCTCCTTGGCGGGCAACAATACCGCCATTAATTTTAAAAAAGCTGACATGCCATTAAATGTAACCAAAAAAGGTTCAATTGTTAATAAACATCATCAGTGCATCTCCGGTACATCTTGTCCTACGTTGGCGGCCATCTTAGCATCAAGGTAGCAGCGCTGGTCAAGAGGAAGCCAGGTACAACCTCAACTCAACACTAGAGAATGTCTGTGAAGCGCTAAATATCATTGACGTATACATAGAAAGAGGTCACAGCTTAGACTTACTCCTGGTTCATAGAGCTCAGCTCGGCCTTCTTCTTCTCCAGCAGCTCCTTCAGCCTTTTACTTTCCTCCGTGCTCTCCTCCAGTTGGATTTCCAGCCTCTGCATGGAGGCTGTGGGACGATCCCGCGAGACCTCCTGCCTCATTCTTTGCTGCAAAGCACCCACAAGAGTCAGGATCCAGTCAGGCAGGGAAAGGAAGCACAATATTTACAGAGCGATGAGGTTGTAGCGGGTGACGGCCTATCCTTACCTTTATCTCCTCTTCCAGCTGTTGTTGGAGCTGGGAAACTTTCCTCTCTAGTTCCTTCTTCTGGTTGACCAAAGTCCTGGTATCGTCTCCAGGGGAAGCCTGTAGAGACACAACATTTGCCTTCAATACGGATCGGCACATCAATGGGCGCAGGCCACACGACCCATCAATGGGCGCAGGCCACACGACCCATCAATGGGCGCAGGCCACACGACCCATCAATGGGCGCAGGCCACACGACCCATCAATGGGCGCAGGCCACACGACGCATTCTGCAATTTCTTATTTTTTTAATCCCAACAAGACCGTTAACATGGCTTGAAAACTTGATTTACATGAAGTACTCGTCTCACACACGCGAGGGAGAGGGCAGTGCAGACAATGTTCCTGGTAGCAGGTGCCTATCTCTGTCTCCATGTGGTTTTTGACATGCGGGGCATCAGAGCCCGCAGCATCAGCTGGAGACACGTACAGTCACTATGAAGGTCCCACTATCAGGGACACTATATGGCTGACCAAAGCCCTGATGTCTTCTCCAGGAGAGGTCTACAGAGAAACAACATTTCACTTCAATACAGACCTGGGTTTGTTTAATAGGCACAGACCACATGACCAAGTGCCTATACTGTGTCTCCATGTGATCGTATTTTAACAAAATGGAGAGGTAGCACTGGAACCCTAAAGTCTCATTGACGCAAGAGTTATATTGGTGTTCGAACCCGGTGCCTGGATTCTGGGTTGGCATCTTCTCCACGCCAAAGGATATCCACGGTTTCCCAGGTTTGTGATTGAATGGATCTGAGATGGACGTGCCACACAGAGATTTCATAGTCCAGATCTAAATTTTTTTGAGTGTAAAATCAGATATACGACATTACAGAGCCAACGCGTTTTTAGGGTCCACCGTTCCCTCAGTTTGTGACTAGATGGATCGGAAATGAAAGTCCAGATATAAATTTATTCCAGTGGCCCCCTTCACCTAAACCGAATTAAACATACAAAGCATTTGGTACTTTGCCCACACAAGTGCGCACAGTTCATCAGCGGCTGGATATTTGTTTATTCACTCCAACTGTTTCCCATCCCTAAAACCCAATGAAGGAGGGAGGTGGTTCCTGGCACCCGAAACGTGTTGGCTCTTGATAAAGCCTTTTATCTAATCTGCACTGGAATACACGTATATCCTGAGTATTGATTCTCACTGTGGCGCGTCAGTCACATCTCCAGGTGGTTGTATTTCACCATTTGTGAAGTTGAATTTTGAGATAAGTGGCGCAAGAGCCTACGGCTTGGGCTGGAGATCTCGGAGCCCCCAGCAGCCACACAGCCACCATCAAGGGCCCGCTATCAGGAACACCATTGGTAACTGTGCTATGGCGACAGGCTCTCTTTGAGGCTACCATTTTGTTTTTGCCATTCTTACCCGCAAGGGTAGGCTGGAGATCTTGGAGCCTCCAGCAGCAATACAGCCACCATCAAGTGCCCGCTAACAGGAACACAATTGGTGACTGTGCTACGGTGACAGGTTCACTTTGAGGCTACCATTTTGTTTTTGCCATTCTTACCCGCAAGGTCTGTAATTTCTCCACGAGAAGGCCGGTCTTCTTCCTCAGCATGGCCTCGCTGTCATTAGACCTGAAAGGAAGGAATCATTGTGAAGAAGAAGTGTGTACTAGTCACAATCCCACCACTTGGACTGAAGATGCTTTGGTGGCCCCTCATGGGTTGAGCAGAACCAGCTTTGATGAGCGTTATGAGGCTGAAACAGTTCTATCCATAGGAAGTAGACCTAGAACCCTGCTACTGAAGTTCCTGTGGTTGACTGGCACTTTAAAACTCTGGGGTTCTCCAACCACAGACTACCCCGGGACACTCTAGGGGTGAGGTGACCCTAAAGTGGTGTTAATCTAGAGGTCAGTGATTGCTTTGTTACAATTAATGGCATACAAACTGATGTGGAAAACATTCAGCGACATTTACCCATCCCGCAGGATGTTGTAGATCATTTCCCGGGTGGGGTCACTGGCATCTTTTTGCTGGTCCTTCAAGAGGTCCGGGGTGCTCTTCAGCTGCTGACAGGAAGAAGAAACATCAGCTGGAGACAAAGTATATAAAAGCCAACTCTCATTTTAAGTGCATCTAAAGCCAAAGCCAAGAGTAGGGGAGTAGGGGAGGATGTCCTGTGTCATGGTGACCTTTGTTCCCGGGACAGAAAGGAAGAGGAAATCTTCCAATGGGGACATCTGTTCTAGTGACAACAAGGGCAATCCCTCACTTCAGAGTTTAGCTGTCTCTTCCTGTTTTGTCCCCCGGACAGGAGGTGAAGGGAAATCTCCCCAATGAGACTGGACAAAAAACCCTGACAAGGGTCCCCCCTACATCTTGAGTAACCACAAGTCCCAGCACAGCAGGACACTCAAGCGTTTAGCTCCTCAAAGTTTCTCTAGTGTGAAGGAGCATACGGTCCTTCCCACTGGACCAAAAAATTACCAACTTTTTTCCAATACTTACCGATACCGAATGTCCCATTAAAAGGAAGCCAGGCGGGGTGTAAAGACTCGCCACCCGGCTTCCCGATTACCAGGGAAGTCGTCTCCATGCTTCCATGACATATTTCCATGACATAGGGTCCCCGTGGTTCTAACAGTCATGGGCACATGGAAGAATTCAATAAATTAGAAGCTATGGGTGGTCACTAGGGATGCACCGATACTAGTATTGGTGCCGATATTGAGTATTTGGGCGAGTATCCCCAAAGTACTCGTACTCGCCCAAATGCTCAAATAGCTTCCCCGATACCGGAACTTCCGTTCAGAGGAAGATTTCCTCTGACTGGCAGTGCCGTAGTGGAACATGGAGCCAGCTACCCGTGCACTCAGGAAGCTGGCTGGCAAGTAATGACCCACTTCCCGTATCCTGATTGGCTGGGAAGCCAGTTCCATGCTGATTGGCCGGGAAGCCAGTTTCTCGGCCAAGCACAATCAAGCCGGCCAGACAACATGGAGACAGCTTCTCAGGCAATCAGATTGCCTGGGAAGCCGGCTCCATGCCAGTTGAAACACCGGTATCGGTACCAAAAAGTACCGAAAAGAAAGTATCGGTACTCGTTCACGAAAAACGGGTATCGGTGCATCCCTAGTGGTCACTCCCCATCTTTAGTGTGTCACAAGGCTGAATCAGCTCCAGTGAACCAAAAGCACCCTTCCATCATGTGCCTCAACCCCAATGATGGAGTGGCGGAAGTGGGCTCAGATACCAAGCCTCTTGGTGACCAACAATCAAGGAGGTTGTCTGAAGCTGCTAATAAGCAAATTTGCTGATCTACAAAAAAAATGTCTTTGGTTATATACTATCAGAAATGTTTTTATCTAGAGAGGCCTTCTTATTTAACTCCACCACTCCTTACAAAATTTTTGGTTTGGTGGGTTCTTCTTCGATTGTTCTTACTAGACCCAAGACATGGAAGTTACCTGCAGTTCAGCCTGGACCGTCCTCTGCTGCCTCTGGGTCACCGGTTCCTCAGCGGCAGCGGCTTGCTCCAGCCACTCTTTGGTCATACGGCTCCTGTTGACATCCTCTCTCTCCAGCGTCTGCCTGTTGAATGGCCGGCTCTCCAGCTGGACGTTCCTCTCCATGGTCTGGACCTCCCGGGAATCGGCGGCGTCTAGGTGAGAGTTCCGCCCGTCCAGGCTCTGCGACCGTTTCCGGTCTTCTTTCAGAGCTTGGCTACGCCGGGCCGTCCTCCCCCGCATCTGGCCCTTGGTGTCAAACTTGTTGATGAGCGAATCGACGGAGGAGAGGGGTTTGGTGTCAATGTCCTCGCTTGGCAGCTTCGGGGAAGAGGGCGAAGGCCCTTCCTTCCTCTGATGAGAAGATCTTCTGGAAAAGGAGGTAGGTTGTTGGCTTGTCGCTGGTTTGAAGCCACCTCTAGAGGAGTTATCGCCATTATCGAGCTTCTTCAAACTGCTGCGACTGCTGGAAGAGTATGTGGTGTCGAGGGTGGAGGACCGCTCGCTGTAGTGTCCATCATAGCCGTAAGAATCTTCTAATTCGGGGTCCACCAAGGAGTTATGTGACTGGGATCTCCTAAGCTCCTCCTTTCGCGGAGGCAGCAAGGCCCGTGGCTTACTGCGAGGCTTGGAGCTCTGCTCTTCGTCGGAAGTGCTGCTGTAGTGCGATCCGGAGGGTCTGTAGCCCTTCATCTCGTAAGGGTTTTCAGGCAGGTCCAAGTCTGTGGTGTTGGACCGGACCGTGTGACTGGCCCTCGAGGCGATTCCCTGGTAGTCGGGCGGCGGGTTTGGCGACGTGTTTCCGTAGCCGGTGTCCGTTTTGATCTGCACGCCATAGGAAGACTTTGCTTTGTCTCCGCTGTTCAGCACCACGAAAGGTTGCCCATCGATTCCCTGGACGCGGATGGCCACCCCGTAGGACTCTTGCTTTGACTTTCCTCTCCGCGGCTTGTGCTTTTCCTTTAAGTCATCGATGAATCTGATTTGGACCCCCTGACCCACAGGCATGTTCTGGTCAGCCATATCGCCATGAACACGTCTTTCCATTCAACAACCTCTTCTGCAAAACAAGAAGGCGAGAATCCGTGAGCAGGAGAACCTTCCAACACCACAAGAGACATTCATAAACCCAAACAACTATGGATTCCAATGACTGATGAGGGGCAAAGACACATACTACTGGAGGAAATCTCACCATTGTGGGAGGGGCAAAGACACAAACTACTGGAGGAAATCTCACCATTGTGGGAGGGGCAGAGACAAAAAGTACTGGAGGAAATCTCACCATTGTGGGAGGGGCAGAGACACAAACTACTGGAGGAAATCTCACCATTGTGGGAGGGGCAGAGACACAAATTACATTTTAATGGTAAGGAAGAGTCCTCAAAAAAAATGCAGAAGAAAAAGCTCAGAAATATTTCACATACCAGAACTATTTCAAATAAAAGATGTTTGCGCAGCCTCACTGGGGCCCCTGCCCGGGGCCAGATTAGCTCCGCCCACAGCTGCCCCATACAATACAGGTGTATCGGCAATAACTGGACGGGTGACATTTTTCTGCCTGTAATCTGGACATGGGTGACATTCCGCAGGTGCAGGACGGAGTCCCATCGTGGGAACTCTGGAAGTGAATTGTGCTCTGCAGTGCCGTGCTCTGCAGTGCTTACCTCAGCCGGAGCAATCCTCCCGGTAAGACAAGGCAAAAGCAAACCCCCGCCGAAAAATAAACACTTTGAGTGTCTGTCAATTATATATGGGAGCCGCCATGTGTGTTTTGCTGCCACTCACATGGGGCGCAAGTCACTCACTGAGCCAATCCCATACTCAGATATACAGATGGCCACCAGGGGGCGCATTCCACACTTCTGCTTAGAAAGGGACTGAAATACGGAACAGCAAGTATACATGAAATCACTTGGAAGTCATTGTAATGATAAGAACTCTCAATCTGAAAGCACATGGGAGCTCCCTTTAAATTGGAGTAGTCTCTAGGCCAGCTGTGCTCCTCGTGCCTTCCCTGGTCCCAGCGTTGGTACTCCCATAGATAAGAGCAGGCCGCACATCAGGCAGGCACAGGGACGCGGCAGTGCGGCACTTACCGATATCCGTTATCACAGTCGCCTCGGTCTTGTCTGCCGGCTGAGTGCGGGGGAATTTTCTGCTCACCTGAAAAGCAGAAGTGCCGGGCGTGTCCAGCCGGTTGATCATTAAGCCGGCTCGCTCACCTCCAGAGCCTGCGCACCCGTCATAGGAAGTGATAGCGGGATCCCCTCCCACGGCGGGGCCCAGGTGACCGGATTAATCATTGCCATCGGATGTAGACGGCCTCCAATGTCAACACCGGCGAGGCTGCCAAGAGGTGGACACCGTGTGCGGTGTCCACTGCTGCTAACAGGGAAGAGCGTGGCCCTAAATCTCATCACAGGATTCCCTCTGAGGGGCCAATGATTGGGGGGGGGGTCCCTACTACGAACTGGGCCGAATCATGTGACCGCTCCACAGCCGCCACCTTGGTCATTGTGTGATACCAGCGCTGGATCCGGGGGGCTGATGCTCCTCCAAGGCCTGAGCCTGTAGATCATGGCTGGGCAACCTCGGCACTACAAGTCCCAGGAGGCATTGCAAGACCGACAGTTACAGGCGTGACTCCCAGAGGCATGAAGGGATTTGTAGTTTCAGCACAGCTCGAGGGCCAGAGTTGCCTGCTTCTGCTGCAAAAGTGGACCTGTCATCAGATATAGTTTCATGCCAAGTACACGCATGCTCAGTGTAACTCTTCCAGCTATACATTACCCCTCACAGAGATCACATGACTCCCCCCCCTGACAATGCCTTCATCTGCTTTCCTCTCCAGAAGGACGGCGCCATCTTTGTTCAGGCATCACCCGGGGTCGCCGTCTACTTCCTGGACTGAGAAGCCGGCTCAGAGATGACACAGTCATGTCAATCACAAATGTCTGACACAGGTCAGCCCGCTGCTGCAGCCTCTCACCTTGTAATGTGCTACAAAGTTGCAATGTTGCAGTCTGATCACTGGGGGGAGGAGTTACATCGCATCTGCACACCTGACCTCGATCAGAGGGGGTTAAAAAGAGTTCAGAACGTTCACTCAAAGATTCACCTTGCTACAAAGTTACAATGTTGCAGTCTGATCACTGGGGGGGAGGAGTTAAATCGCATCTGCACACCTGGCCTCGATCGGAGGGGGTTAAATAGAGTCCAGAACATTCCGTCAGTGGTTGATCGCAGACTTGCCTGACAGGTCCACTTGTGTTACAATCCCAATTCTCCTTCTGAGTGGTTTTCCGTGCATGCAGAATCTGAGGCTGGGATTCCACCTTCCTATCACTCCCTTGCTGTCCCGCCTTGATTTGTGATGCCATTCTCTGCTGGAAGACCCCGGGACCGTACCGCATTCCAGTACCATCACATCACAGACACCCCTCCCCCCCTTGTCTGTATGTTATCTCTCACAAAAGCACAGCTTCCACTCCCCACGCCGCCGCTCTGGAAAGGTTTATTACACAGTCCGTCCATCTGCCAAAGGGAGACTCACCTCACTAAACTCCACCTGAGAATGAAGTATGACCTCTCTGGGCTCTCCTATGAGACAATGTGCTTCCCCCATTATTGCTAATTTGCATATCAGTGGCCCCTCCCACCTTCAGAAATGCTGGAAATTGGATGTTTCCCACTCATAACACACATGGGGGCGGGGCTTATAAATCCTTCGCTCAGCCATATGCTGGGTGACTGCCGCTCACACACTGTTCCTGCCACTAGAGGGAGCCGGGGGACACAGGAAATTCCTCTGCTCTGCGGCTCCATCTAGTGGCAGGAGCAGT